TATCACCTCATGCCAGGGACTCCTGCCACAGTAGTAATTGGTCTCCCTGCCTCAGGTCCCTCCCCATTGCAATCTAGGCTCCACTGAGTGACCAAAATAATTTTCCTGAAGTGCAGATCTGACCATCACCCCCATATTCAATAAACACCAATGGCTCCCTATCACCTCTAGGACCAAACATAAAATCCTCTATCTGGCACTTCAACACCTTCACAATTCCATCCCTTCCTGTCTTTCCAGTCTTCTCTCACTTGACTCCCTTCTGTACACTCTAGGGTCCAGCTATACCAGCCTCCCTGCTGCTCCTCACAAAGGCACTCTATCTCCCAAATTCATGCCTTCTCAATGGTTGTCCCCCATACTTGGAATGATTTCTCTTCCTACTATCCATAGCTTCCTTCAGCTCAACTCCAATCTTCTGCAATAGGCTTTGTCCCATACCTGCACCACAACACCCAGAGCCTCCAAGATTATTTTGATGCTCTATACATCTTACATGTGTAGCCATTTGCATGTTGTCTCCTTGTTAGAATTTGAGCTCCTTGGGGGCAGGGACCACATTTTTGCCTTTCTTCGTATCACCAATGTTTGCCACATAGGGAGTGCTTAATAAATCTTTGTTGACTGTAAAGTACAGACCTGGTAACAGACCAAGTGTCTGCTGTCCAAGGACAAACACAGAGAAGTTCAGAGAGGCTAATCATCTAAGAAATTGCCACCAAGTATTCATTTTTTTTTTTTGGTCAAGACCACCCCCAAAATGAACAAAAATTCCAAGTGGTGCTCAGTGCTATTCAGCCCCCTTCCACAGCAATAGGAGAGGAACAGCAGAAAGGGAGCAGAATGTGCTAAGGATCACACAGCTCTTTGACCATCTATAGAAGCCAATCTAAATGCTGGTGCTCTGAGTGTGCAGGCTTTGTTCAATGACCAACAAGTTGGCACACTGCTGAAGGAATTAAACCACATCCATGCTGACATTTTCATTATAACTGAAACCAGAGGACATAAAGAAAGAAAAAGGCCATTCACAAGTCTTCCTAGGAGGGCTGAATCAAAGCCTCACCGGAGTGTGTTTCATCATGGACCCAAAGGTAACAAGAAACATCGTTTGACGGGATGCTTATTCCTCTCTCCTTGCACTGCTCAGGAGGACTGGGAGCAAACAGACTGATGGGAAGATAATTGCAGTTGATGCGCTGATACTTATTGCAGGGGATGAAGTAGAAAAATTCTTTGAAGAATTTGACAAAATCCTCCAAACAAAATCAACATATGCCTTCACGCCCGGCCGCTTCATTGCTAAAATGAGCTCCAGAAGATGGTGAAAACGATGTTGGAAAATACGGGAGTTAAGAAATGAAAGCAACGAAAGCTTGTAGACTACTTGTAAACCTTACACTCCCACAATTTAAATGCTTTCTTCAAAAATAAAGTGGGAAGATGCTGGACAAGGTCAGCACTAAATGACAAAGAAAGAATTAAACTGAATATATTGGAGGAGACTGTGTGGTGCATGAGATTTAGAACTGGACGACTTGGGGATTCAAGTTCCTTCTGCACCATTTAGTATTATCTGTGTGACTTTGATTGAATCATTTAACTTTTCTGGGCCTCGGTTTCCACATTTATAAATGAGGGGATGTTGAGATAAATGATCTCTAACACCCCATTGAGCTCAAAATCTATGCTCTCATTGTGTGAAAGTAATTGCAGGATCAGCTACTGGTGTAGTCAGGTCATAGACTGGTCAGAGCAAAGGTTAAAATAAATTCTGAGTCAGAAGAAAGGATCAAAATGAAGATACAATCTGAGATTAAAGTAGCTCCAACCCAACCTATTTAATCAGGCTATTCTGTTTCTGTTGAGGATACCACAGTCCTTCCAAAATTCACAACCTCCAATTCATCCTCAAAAATTCTGCTTTAAATTTAAAATCTACCTGTGCTCAAAAAGCTACACACCTCTTCTGATCCTTAGATTCAGAGATTTACTATGAGGCTTACACCCCAAAAAGGTCAATGGCTAAAAGAAAGAGTTCCTATTTAAGGAAATATTTCTAAGAGCACTTGCTGGGGTGGGGGAAGGGTAGGGGATCTGCAAACAAATGAGGGTCTATCGAATGGGCTAAAGAAACTGAAGTGTGTGTGTGTGTGTGTGTGTGTGTGTGTGTGTGTGTGTGTGAATATTATTCCACCATAAAGAATAACTAATATAAAGAATTCAAAGAAAATGGGAAAGTGTGTGCAAACTTAGAGCCAGAAGAACAGATACAGTGACTGCAGTCAACACTGAAATGCAACAGCATTAGAATCAAATACAACCCCTACCCTCACTCATTTAAAATCAGCAGGCTGAAAATAAAACACACTTCCTTCTTTTTTTGTAATAAATAACAGAGTACGTTACACTTGCTCTGTCAATCACCATTACTCCATTAGATGGTTTGGCTTAATTGTTTTGGATATTTTTATTTTGTTTTTTTAAATGAGAAGGCAGTATGAGGAAAGACGTTTATTAAGAAGTGATTATTGTATCGAAAACAAAAAATATTAAAAAGAAACAGAGGCAAAGAAAACATGGAAAGCCTCACTGAAGGAAATTTCATCCCACACTAGGTCTGTTGTCTTTCTTCCCATTTCTCCATCAACATACTAAAAATATGGTTGAAAGTGAAGTAATTCTGTCCCTAAGGAGATTTCAGGAATTCTTCCCCATAGAAAAGAGAAGCTGACCAGATGGGTAATCTGCAGGGGCCTTAACCCAAGCAAAGTCATGCCCCCACCACCCCAAAGTTTAAGAATTAAACCAAAAATAAAAAATTGTTGCTTTCAGGGCACTAGTAACAACTTTGAGGATTCCTTTCCCTTGGATATTTCACTTCTTATCATTATTAATCACCTCTGAGAGCCCTCTAGGAGTTCAAAGGGGCTATATGGGCATACTATTAGTTACTATATGGGAAGGAAACTTGGGGACAAGCAGCCAGTTAGTTCCATAGTGAGAATCAGTCAAAGTACTTCTGAGTACACAGTGACTAGAGAGATACAGTCTTCATAGCAAAGGTCACCAGGACATGTGGGGTTTGATCACACCTTCATGGGGAGGCCCAGGGGAACTCCTGGCACCAGATCCATTTGCATAATGGGCTTATATTGAGCCATTGATATTTGTCTTAGTACAAGGTAATGAAGAGCTTTTGGGAGTTTCTAAGAAGGCTGAGAAAACAGAAACATTTCTGTCTCTCTAAGATAGTCTAAAACATTGCTGTATAAAAGTTACAATCAAGCAATGGTGGTCATCAGAAAGCTGCTTGAAAGGCAAAGTTATCCCACTAAACTGATCACCCAGGACTTCACCTTAATTCTCACTACCATGACCCTGGTCCAGGCCCTTCTCACCATCAAGACAGTCAATATCAATCCTATATAAAAACTATAATCAAGCAATGGTGGCACTCGGAGTGCTACTCTCAAGGCAAAATTATCCCTCATGACCCAAGATACCTCTCCTTAGTCCAGGCCCTCCTCACCTCACACCTATGATGCTGCCATGGTATTGGTCTCCCCATTGCCTGAATCCATTATCCTTCCCCAGTAATTTGAATGCACAGCTCCAAACATTCTCCCCACCCTCATTAAAATACATTCAATGACTTCCCTATATGCCTACAGGATCAAGTCTAAAATCCATAGCTTCATATTCAAAGCTTTCTACAAACTTGTTCCAATCTACCCATCCAACTATATACTGCCATGAACCTTCTGCTCCAGCCAAGCCAGTCTGCTCACTATTCCACACTGAGCCTTTGCTCATGGCATTCCATACACCTCCACTCATGACTTCTTCTGTCTTTTCAATCTACCTCCTGCCTACCATCTTTTATAACCATCTATCTACAAAATCATCCCTCAGCACTCTAGACCACAGAGATTTCTCTCTCCTTTCTCTCACCTACTATAGGATTTACCCTCCTGAGC